AGGTTCAGGAAACAACAAATAATATATCCCAAATAATGCAAAAGTATGAACAGGATTTAGTCCAATCCTCACTTTTGCTGATTATTACAATAATTTTTATCTTCGGAGAAGTTAGTAACTTCACTCATCCTCAGTTTCTTTCTCTGAAGAGGTGATAACAGCAAAATCTTTGGGTTGCTGTGAAGATAAGGAAAATAAATGTAAATCATATAATTAAATCTCCAGTACAATTCTTTTATAAAGTATAGATATTATTAAGGAAAAAATAAAGGAATAAAAAAGATTTACTGCTCTTTTTGGAAGGTTTTAATATGAACAAACAAGATATAAGGGAACTAAGTGAATTCTTAGATATATCTATTATGTCAAGAATAGGCTTCAGCCAACAAATGGTAGCACCAGCAAAAGTAGAAAAGGGAATAAATTCAAGATGACTGATGACCTAGTAAAAAAAATACATAGAATTTTGAAAGCCTCTAACCAGATACATATTATTTCAGGTTATCAAGAACACCTACAAATATGGATTCATAAGTGGATTTAATTCATACATCAGTTCCATCTAAAAGAGAGGTCTTTATTCATAGTATGACTTAGTATACTAATGACTCTGTTTTGTTAAATGTTCTTTGTTATAGACGTAGCTAGGACATGGATTTCAGTGTGTAAAGAAAACAGAACTAGTAGAGAACAGAAGCAAACTGGGAGCATGGGATGGTGCCTGCCATCCACTTAGGCATAAACTAAACAGGCATAAGAGAATGTTGATGTGGCTTGTCAGTTGCATATGCAAAAAACACTTAGATTTTAATGGACTATAACTATATTATTCAAAAGTGTCACATTGCTGCAGAAAATCTAGTGAGTACTTTTTGACATTTAATATAAAATATCTAAACCAAACCTTTCTATTTTTTTATCCACCTTCCTTTCAGGTTACTGAACTTGTCTTTTGCTGTCTTCAATCTGCTGTTAAACCTTTCATTGAGTTCTTAATTTTCATGTCATTATTATTTTGTAATTTTAATTTTCTCATGAAAATCTCCATATCTTATGCACTTAGTTATTTCCTGTATTTTCATAAATATATTAGTTGTAATTGTTTTGAAGTCTATGCCTGTAATTCAAATATCTACAACATCTGCTGCTTTTCTGTTTTCTTCCTCTTGATTGTCAGTGAAAAAGTTCTCTGCAATCTTAGTATTTTTTTTAAGTGGAAGTCAAGCATTGTGTTTTTGAAAACAAAGATGAAAAAGTTCAAGATGATATTACTTTCATTAGAGGAGTTCAGCCTTTTCTCTGCTAGGCATACAGAGAGGAGGGAAAAAAGTGGCTGACCACCTTTATTTAGGATTTTATTCAGAATCTGTCAAATCCTTTTCTCCTCAGCACTGAGACTACAGGGAAATCTGCTCTGCTCTACCTTTCATAGGTCTTCAGTTTATATATTTAGTCTTACACCCTATGAGGCCCCAGATTTTGGCAAATATCTTGAGGGGGAGACTGACTGTGTGCCAGCCCCCTTAAGTCACCAATTTTATCACCTTGAGCCTGATCAAGTGCCAAAATCTTTGCTGTTATCTGTCTTCCATCTTCCAGAGCCCAGGACAGGACCTTTATTCAACCTCTAGCTAACTCTACACTATCAAGCATCTCCAGGCCAAAGCAGTTGTTGCAGATTGTTTTAGAGTTAATTGTCCTTTCCTTGAGGAATTTTAACTATTACCTCTCTTCCTAGTGGATCCATGTCTCCTATGTATCATGAAAAAGTAGTCAATTTCACTATAATTTTCCACGCTTGGGCTTATGATTGTAGCCTGCTATCCTGTGAAATTTGAAAACTTAGCAAATATCAAGGGGAGAAAATTTGAGATCTTGCTGACTCTCCGATGTTATCACTCCAGTCGCGCATAACTGCCCAAAGTTTTCTAGTTTTTTGATCCCCTTCAGCAGTGCTTTTCCTGGGCTTAGCCCATGTTCGTAGCCCTGGATGATCCAGAATTGACAGCAAACCTCCAGGGACAGCCTCAAAGCCTCAGCTCACATTTGCAAGTTTCATGCCTTTCTTGAATTATACTCCCTCTGGTTCTTATTATTTGGCTGATCTCTGGTGCCTTACATATATTATTTCTATAATCGATCCAGCTTTTCTAATTGTTCTTAGTGGGAGCATTGGTCTGATGCTAATTACTCCATCTCATTAGAAGCAACAGTTTCATGTAGGTTTCACGGAGTACAATATAGGTTTTAATAGATAGAGGTATCTAGGCACTATGAAAATAAAGTATGTTTATAGACTGGGTAGGGAGCAAAATTTTCCATTTAATCTTTCTCAGTTTTTTGATACGAGGAATCATCTTTCTACTTGTCTTTCTGTCTATCTATCTATCTAATATCCATCCCCCAATTCATCTATCCACCCATCCATTGCTTTCATAGTAATTTCATAGTAATTTGTTATATTGCTATTAAATAAAGGATGAAAATCAGTGTCTGAAACAACTAAAATAATGAATGGTAATAATCTAGTTGCTAATGTTTTCATTGTCCTCATAACTTAAATGAATAAATTGCATTGTATGATAACTAATTAATTCTATAACTGGAATACTCTTTTTGATCTTAGGTTAGTCAATTGATGCATGATATTATAGATCTAACATGTATTGCTTTTAATCCATTATCAACTATTTTATGTTCTATCAAGCTTTCTTTTTCTATCAATTATTTTTTTCTTTTAACAATATATAATCATTGAGTCTTTGGGCTATTACAAACACTGGAAAATATATAATGTGAACTAATGAAAAAAACAATTTATGTATTTGTTTAAACCAAACCTATTTCTTTCCTGAAAGGGCAAAAATAGAAAGTTTGAAGTAAGGTTATCTTGAATGAAACATTTAAAAAAAAGTATAAAAACCTATCACTGCAATGGAATGAAAAAAACAGGTAGTTTTGAATGAGGAGAGAAAAATGAAGAAGCTAGAAGTCAGATATTTGAGTAAGTAACAATATTTAACCACTACAAACACCATTAGCATCTATATGCAAATGCAAGAGTAAATATGACTATATTTACATTGTAAGATCCACTTCCTCATAAATTAAACTATTACTATTTTAGATTTAGTGCCATTTTATTAAGTATATAGGAAGGTAAAGTAATAATAATTTTAAACAAATATTTATTCTAGATTTAGACTATAATTAGCAATTTATATGTATATTATGTCACTTAATCTTTATAACAACCACTGTAAGTATATAAACTTAGTCCTGTTTAGTCGCAGAAAAGTAAAGTGAAGCTTAGACAACCTGTGAAATTTACCAAGTCACAGAGTTTGCTTAGTGTCAAAGCTGTGCTGGATTTTTTTGCTATAAATTATAATTGTCTTGTAGAATTTTCTGCAATAATCAAAGTGTTCTATATGTGCACTAACAGAGGTGTCCAAACTTTTGGCATCAGTGGGCCACAATGAAAGAAGAAGAGTTGTCTTGGGCAACATATTAAATACATAAACACTAGCGAAAACTGTTGAGCAAAAAAAGTTTTAAGTAAATTTAGTGTTTTGTGTTGGGCTGCATTCACAGCCATCCTGGGCCACATGCAGCCCAGGCGCTGTGGGTTGGACACACCTGGATACATAGGAACTAGCCACATTAGTGACTGAGTATTTAAAATGTGGCTAATGGAAATGAGAAACCGAATTTTTTATTTTATTTTTCATCAGTTAAAATTTAAATAGTCACATGTGTCTAGTAGTTACCACTGGATAGCACAACTCTAAAATAATTAGACTATACTAACTCATGGTCCTGAAAACTCTAGGGGAGTATATAGGAACATCATTTGAGAAACTTTTTACTAGAGTTCAACAACTGGAATATCACTCCTGGATAGAAATCAGTATTGTATATGGAAAAGAATGTAGTGTATTACTACTCGTCTTTACTAGTAAGTAATATGGTAAATAGCTCATTTGTAAGCATTTTGTATGAAATGAACAGTATAGAACTCAGTCACTTTCCTTAAGTCAGAGGGCAATTTCCTCTTATTTGGATTTGATGTGGGACTATTTAGATACACACTAAACAGCAAACTAGGAAAATAATAGAAGAGAGGAAAGAGAGGAGAAGCTCATTGGTTTATATTTCTTTAAAATGTATTAGATATTGGTATAATGGAGCTAAATGGCAATTACAGGTGAATTTCCCTACTTCCTTCCAAATCATTTGGGCAGGGTATGCTGAGTTAGTACAGTGACATCAAAGGACATTTAATATGATTCTCTCAAGAGCATGTGAGGTGACTCCTTTCCCCTGCTCGCTCTTCCTCATGCCAAGTTATTAAAACAAATTAATTAAATCACAGGCTAAGTGTGCCCTTTATTCTCACTAGGGAGTGGCTTCTCACCCCTTCTTCCCTCACTTTTTAATCTAAAGAACAACTCTTCTACTCTATAAGCACTCTAATAGTGTTTCTCTTTATATGTGAAGCCTCAAAAAGTAAACTGATGTTTTCCACATCTAAGAACATTTTGTAAATAAAACTATGCTTCCTCTTTCTGAGAAGACAAATTCCACCAACATAAATTGGAACTTTTTCTACATGTTTTATTTTCATATTTTGACTCCGAAAACATTGGAACTATTAAAACAAATACAAATAATTCCAGTGCTTTTATCCCTCCTTTTCCTCATCGGTGCTAGTTCTTTTTCAGGCTTTGTTAAGAAGTCGAGAGTTGGCTGGGTGGCGTGGACGGGAAGAGAGTTTGATTGACTGCACATGTGTGAGAGCCACGCATACATACATACTGAGGACAGTACGAGGCAGACTGCCCTCGGAGACACACTTCTGAAAAGAGTGGTTGACTCAGGCCCCACCTATACCCAGCTCAGTTCCTAAAAATAGGTGCCAACTTGCATCCTTTAGACACAGGGCTAAAATAAATTCAGCCGTCCCGTCGACTTGCTTGATAGACCCTTCAGTGGAGCTGGCCTCCACTCCACCAATTGCTTTCAGGGGACTGGGAAATTCGCTGTACACGATACAAGGGAGGAAACTATTCTGTGAAGAACTGTAAAGATATTATAATTTCCACAAACTTGGGGTTAAGACTAAATATTACAAAAGGTATGTGTAATATAGTCATTGATATGTGTCTGCTTCTGAGGTTGTAAAATGTTCTTGCTGATTGCTTTAAATCAATGAAGACAATAGGTCAAATTGTACTTGTTATAAAAGGAAATATTCAGTCAGATTTTGTTTTTATGACATTATTTAGCCTTAGTTTATATAATTAAATTTAGGGCTTCATATATTAAACTCTTTGTAAAATTAGCATTTTTCATGTTTAGTATTGAAGAATAATGAGCTAAACTTGATAAACAGTCATGAGTGAAAATTATACTTCAACTTACAGCTAAAGGGGAAAATTTTTTTTAAATACTTTATTTTTTATGAGCATAAATTGGTAATATATGTAATGAATATATTTTAAAATATATGCTGTATTTCTGAGAATTTGGTGAGGGAAAGGAAGAGTTTTTAATTGTGTTCAACTGTTGCAGCTTGCACAGAGAAATTTATGAAAATGATTCCTTCTCCAGCGTTAGTTTGATCTTGTACTTCTCACTCCAGCCAGTCTCTTCTCCTCCGGGAGTTTTACTGGAGTAAGGATTAAAGAATCAGGCTCTTACAAGTTTTGCGGAATTAAGAAAAGCACTGCCAGGTGGATCTGCCAGCCCTAATTATAGTAACTACAAACTTAAAGAGAGAAGACTAAGATTTTACTTTAAAGGTATTATGACCTACATACTATTTCAAATGGATTTTTTTCAGTCTTCAATTGCCTGTGAACACCTCATTTTGGTCTTGTGCTACAAGTGTTCAGATGTTATATCCTGAAGTAACTTGGGAGAGATGTTATAACAGAATCTCTTAACACACCAACAAAAAGCAAGGGCACTTTAAGATTACCTAATACAGGGTTTAAATTTAGCTGGCTGGTACCAAACAGAAAGTTATTTTATTTTTACCAGAGCTCTATTTGGTCACTGATGAGCTGCAGGTTGTTTGAATTATTTTAAAATTTTATGTGCAGGGTGCCAAAGGACAAGTAAAATATTTACCTCAGTTAAAGTCAGAGCCATGGATTTTAACTTGAAAGAGCACCTGTTTTGAGTTTTAAAGATATGACCACTGAGTGGTAAAAATATTAGGTGAGAAATGAGAAAGCCTTGAATTCTATCCTTAAATATTTCTCTACCTGTCTGCCTAATATACAAATATTTTATCTTCTTGCCGCCAACATGTAAACCAACAACTAAATTCATATTTTAAAGTCAGTCAGCATCTCAGATCTCTGCAAATGGCAAAGTGCCAGTTGTGTGGGAAAAGTGTCCTCTGGGATTTGGAATAAATGTTTCTGATTTCATCCAGCATTGGGCCTCTTTTAGAAAAGCTTCCCTTAACCACCTGAGAAACAAAAGTATACAGTTTTTAATGATCATGGAGAGAGTTACTTCAGAAAATGATCATGTAAAAATGTCAATCTGGGCTTCAGGTCTTCCTAGATTACAGAGGAAGAGAGGGTCAGTTGCCTTTCCTCAGATTTACTTTTGGGTAAAAGGCCCACAAAATTCATAGATAATTTACTGTTGTTTAACACTCATAGTGCTGCAGAGGGAGCCGGGGTCCAGGTTCTTGGTAGTTGTGAACAACAAATTGAATAGACTACACAAGCAGAGTTAAGTGAAGCAAGAGAGATTTATTGAGAAAAGCAGACTTCCCAGAGTTAAGTGAAGCAAGCGAGATTTATTAGGAAAAGTACACCTTCCAAGACATGGGAGCGGGCCACTTTTGCTAGCAGAAAATGGTCGCCTTCCTCAAGAAGGCGCAGGCTTTATAAGTGGCTGGTTTGTCCTGAATCGCTCTTTTCTTTGGCGGGCTTTTTACAATGCATGCGCAAGTGGTTATATAACTTCTAAGCTTCTGCGCATGTGGTTTCCCACAATCCTCCTTGATTCTCATTCAGGGGTCAAACTACAATGCTAATTTATTATAATAGCATAATAATAAAGCAAGGTGAAACAGCGGTCATCTTCTGCTAGGGTGCGCATGCGCGGCCCCCTTGCTGGATGCTGCAAGGCCTTTCTTGGTAACTAGGACGCTGGACGCTGGCTGATGACAGCTTGGTGACCCAGGGCTTCCTCATTCCTATTCTGTCTTTTGCCTCAATAGTTGTCTGCTATTCAATAGTTCCAGCATATTTCCTCTCACATTTACCATAATTAAAAAATGTCATACATCAATATTCTTCTTACTTGTTTGGTAAAACATTCTTATGATGAGGCAATTTGCAGCTGGACTCCCCTGCTAACCTTGATACTGGAAACTGGTATTTCTTCCCTCCCCTCCCCTCCCCTCCCCTCCCCTCCCCTCCCCCCTCCCCTTTCCTTCCCTCTCCCCCCCCCACCCCCCCCCTTTCCTTCCCTCCCTTCCCCTGCCCTTCCCTCCCCTCCCCTCCTCTCCTCTCCTCTTCTCCCCTCTCCTCTCCTCTTCTCTTTTCTCTTTTTTCTTCTCTTTTCTTCGCCCCCCCACCCCAACACACACACAGATCTGAGCATTAAGAAACCATTTTGTAATACCTGTTTGATAGCTAGGGGTCATGTCTAAATTCAGTAAGTCATAGAGCAGAGCAGGCTATTAATAAGTGTCTGGAAGTGTAATTTCAAGATTTTTGATTGATCAGTCTGGGGGACAGAGTTTAATTAACTTTACATTGTCCTTTTCCTGGACATTTGCTTCCCACCCCCCCCCCCTTTTTTTTAAAGCATCCAAATTATACTTTGAAATTTAATTAAATTGTAATTTGTGTTTCCTGTTTTTGAAACAAATACTTGCTCATTCAAATTAGAGGTTCATCCCTTGCAGAATGGTGAGTAACTTCAAACTTTTCTGATTCAGAAATGACTCGTAGAATACTGATTTGTTCTATGTAGTTTCTTGGTCTTTATATGACTGTGTAATATGTCTGTTTTTTCCCTGACACTACTTCTAAGCCAAATGAGTAGTATTTTCTGATACCAACCAATTCTCCAATTCTCTGACACCAACTAAGTGTAAAACAAACAATTCAATTCTCACACTAACTCCCATAGTTAAAGCGGACCCGACCCCACAGATTGCCCCCACTTCAGCCTCCAATTCAAGCACAACTCAGGAGCAGCCAAATTCAGGGTAAGGCAGAGTAGCACCGAGCTTCCATGCCCTCTCTGAGCTTGCCACCCATCAATACAGTCACCAGCCTGGAAGTTCACCACACCCTGTTGTTTAGGGTTTTTATTAAGGTTTCATTATAGAGGATGACTGACTAAGTCTTGGGCCATTGGTGACTGGTTTCGATCTCTAGCCCTCTTCTCTTCTCAGAGACAGGAAATGGGGTTGAATGTTTTAACCCTCTAACCAGTTGATTGGTTTTTCTGGCCACAGGCACCCATCCTGAAGCTATCTCCATTCCCATCCCCTGCACCCAAGGGAGGCCAGGAGTCACTCATTAACATACTAAAGACCTATCATTCAGGACATTCCACAGGGTTTAGGAGCTCTGTACCGGGAACAGGGACAAATACCAAATATTTATTTATTCTTATACTACATAAGTTCAATGTGACTCCTCCTTCTTTGAAATGCTACCTATGAACTCCAGGGTAAAAATTTCATATTGTTTGTTTTTCTAGTCATTGGAATCTATCTCTTACAAGTTTAACTAACCCGAGCATTTTTTCAATCTATAGATAAGAATAATGACAATTAGTTAGGCAATGAAAAGAGTAAAGGTTTTGTTTTCTTTTAAAAAAAAAGTTGAAAATCAAAAATTCAGTGAGTTACTTGTATCAGTTTTGACACAAGTGACAGTGTGGCTATATTTAATGACTTCTTGGGACTTTATGGGTTTAAATAATGGCATAAAAATAATCTGCCAGTGAATAGCACAGTAGGCAAGCCAAATTCCTGGTAGAGTAGCTACTTCTTACATTGTCACCAAGGACCAAAGGAATTTACTGCGTATGTAACACAAAGAACGTCAGTGACCATTTGGCTCAACAATTTAATTGATAGATAAGAAAACTGAGGCTCAGAAACATTAAATAATAACTTATAAGATCTAAACAAAAAGAACTAGAAACCAACTACTAAAATAATTTATTTTGGGAACTTTCTCTGTTAGTCAAAGATCTAATAGCACCTTCCCCCCAAATCTGAAAATATCACCCTGTGCATCTAAATGCATTAACTTCATAGTCACCAACACAGAAAAGCTTTTAAAAAATCACATCACCATTAATTTTAAATGTAAAGTCCAACATTTTAAATTATTTCCAAACATGTTCTCAATGTTGTTCATTTAAAGTTTAATATATGCAAACTGAATAGAAAATAATGTTTAAGTAACCATTATTTATTTTTGTTTTGTAATTCATAGGGACTGAATTTTGTTGAGTAAAATATAGATAGATCTCATATTAGGAAGTAGCTGGGGTTTTTTTTTTTAATCTACATATACTAAATCTTTGTAAATAAAGTCACATTTCCCTATTGAAATGCATTATAACTCAGTATCTCTGCTGTGATTATTTTGTTTATTAGTGATCACTGCCATTATAAGAATTCAGATTTATTTTATCTAACCCGTAACACTTTTTGTCAAATAACTAGAAGTTTTTGAGAGACTATATTAAATAAGTGTTTTAGGGAAACAGTGAAAAATCTTATTCTAAAGTTAAAGATTACCTTTTAAATTCATCTGTTTTATAAGTTAAAATTTTTTACTGTGGCCATAAGCATCATATTGTCAAATTGGAATATTCTGGGAAAGGGACAAGAATAAAGTGCATTGTTTCGATGTGATTAAAGGGTTGTCAGTTCCAGCTACATGCTTTATTTAAAATTCACTGTGTCTGCCTCTGTTGGAGCCTGAGCCATTTCCTGAGTACCGGGTAAGGTAGAAGCAGCTGTTTTGCTATGTAGGAGGATGAAACCCTGCAGCAGTCTGCAGTCGCAACAGAGGGGATAGAGCTGGGAGTGCCACAGGCAGAGCAACTGACACAAGCAGCTGCCTAATTGGTTCC